TGCGTGCCCTTCAGTCTTTTTAGTCTGTTCCTGTTTTTCAGTTGTATGGCACGCCTATGCACAAGTTGAATGAATTAAAACTTTGCAGTGTGTACATGTTAGCTAGCATAAATGAGAAAGGGGAACCCTATGATTCATGCACAACAGGAAGTATCATAGTCAACGGTACAGCTTGTGCGGGAATAACAAATTCATTAGATACTGCAATGATACGCGAAGCGTATGAATAGTGATCTAGTTATGTAGTAGTATCATGGCAGCGGAATTCGTAGATTTACTGGCACAGTGGCTAAAACGCAGGCAAGGACAGGGAATTGAAGGTTTTTACGAGGTAGGTTATGGTACGCACACAATGCAAAAGAGCACCGCGCACGGAGCGCATAGGTGAGTACAGTGATGTGCTCACCAGGAAAGTGTGTTACGGGAATATATATATGACTATGGCGGATATTGCATTGGCATAGTGTGTACAACATCAGTGCTTGGACAGCCAGTATTGAACTATGAGTATTCACATACGTCATGTACTAGCAGCATTATACCCTTGACAAATTCGGGGTTACTACTTTACCCTTTACAGAGAGCAATATGGGCAGATATGAAAAATATGGTGGACCAGTTTCTTACCCATATGGAGCATGATGATGGCACACTTGCGACATCGTGTGATGATAAGGGATGGGGGCCGGAACGAATCACAAATTGGCATAATGCTGACGACAAAGTTGTATGCAAAATGATGGTGCCGGCATTATTTTTCATGAATGGATGGGGGCTGGGTCCACATGGGGGATACGAGGCTTCGGCCGCAGGTGATAGATTACACAGATATATACGGTGCATAATTGTGAATGTATTTATGTTCCAGTTAATGAAAGCAAACTGTGGCAGACATCAAGGTATACGACAGGCATTGCACATATTTGAACCCTTTATGGACCATGTGCCTGGCGCTGTGCATCCTAAAATGTGTACCTGGGTGGTTAATAATGACCTGAAAGTAGGAGGAAAGGTAATAGGCGCACAATTTGATGACTGGATAATGGGGGATGAAACCATGCAGGCCAAGATGAAACAGTTAGAGAAAAGTGTAAGATGCAAAAGAAGGCGGAAACAGACATCAGACAATGGCCCGGGAAGTATAGAATTATTGAAAGCCGAAACGTTGCGGGAAGAAATGGAGCCAGGAATGAAGGGTATATTAAGGAAAGTACGGAAGAGAGTAAAGACACTACGGGGGCCAGTTCCTTCCGACGACGATGCGGATGACGATGAAGACGACGATGAGGATGACGATGAGCACGAGGACGTGAATGGTAAGAACAGTACGAATACGACTCGTACGCATACCAATCATACGGCCCCACACGGGATCACACGGCCCGGTCCGTACGGTACCGATATAGATGCCACCACCACAACAACACAACGGGCACAACACCACGCGCCCGCGGGAAGAACAACAACACGCACGCGCGGGCGGAAAAGCACCCCCTCGTTGAGCGATGAGCCGAGGTGTGAGCGGCGGCCACGACGGCAGCGGCGACGACGAGTGTGTGACGGCCACGACGGATGGAGCGGGACGGCGGACGCGATGACGGCGACAACAAATAAAAGTTGTACTGCTATCACCTTGGTCCACCGAGTGCGCCCGCCTTTCTTCCTGTCTTTGTCCTCTTCTAACAACGTGCGCGCTCTCTAACACCGTCCCGGCCCTACCCTGTCGCTACCTGACCCCACCGTCCCGGCCCCTTCTTTCTGTCTACCACTTGTGTCCTGTTTTGTATCATTTTGTCGTTTTTCTTCCTTGCTTTATTTGCAGCAGGCAAGGCACCTGAACCAACACCTGAGTCCACAAAACCACAGGCTGAACCGGTACCACCAGCATCAGAAGAAAATGCAACAGAAAAAGGGAACGATTCGACAAGTGCAAAAACAGCGAAAGCAGATAACGGAGCAGCACCAGCACCAGGGGATGTGGGAAGGTCAGAAACATCAGCTGGGGATGATACAGTATCACCATCACCCCCTGCAGCAGGACAAGGCGGAACAGACCCAGGAGGTACAGGTACCGGTACCACACAGACACCGTCGCAACCTGGACCACCAGGAGCAGAAGCAGCACCCTCCGGTACGGACAGAGAAAACAGTGACAGTAGTTGTTCCAATGGTGGAGGTGCGGGTGAACGCATTGTAATTTCCTGTGGGAGCGCACAAGGACCTGGTTTGGACCCTCCCGCGGACCTGGCAGGCTTAATTTCTGGATCGTTGGAAGATAATAGTACTAGTGAGGGCGCAGGCGGAGGTCAACAACTTCCCCAAGAGGTGAACCACGGTTCCAACGGCGTCGCTAGCCACCCATCAGCGTCTGACTAATATTCGTGTAGCCGATCGATCGCGGTCAACAGTGGTGCCGAACGTGGTCAGCCGACCATCCATTGACGGACCATGCGCAACGGACCGTGTGGTCAACCATGCACCGCACCACACTTGAGTTATTTTCATATTCTTCGTTTTCGTTCAAACTCACAGGTACTGGAACTACACAGATCACGACACGTAACGGTCAGGAGGATTCACCGCCGGCACCATCCAGCATACCAACAACAACAGGAAATGACGGAAACGCGGGTACACAAGGTGTACCAGGTCCATCTGGTCAGGAAGGAGGACGGGGTGAACCAAGTACACCGGTTGAGGATGGCGGAAGCGATGACCCCCCTCCTCTCAATCCGCCCAAACCAAAACCGAACCCGAACCCAAATCAATCGGGGTCGAGCGGTAGCGGCGGCACCGGCGGCAAAAACGGTGAACCGTCCTCAGGAGGTACTGAACAGAGTGCAGCAGGTGGTAGTGCTCAACCAGATGGTGGTGGAGGGGGAGGAAGTGCAAGTTCCTCATCCTCTGCTTCAGAACCAGCCAGTCCAGGTTCTACTGGTGAACACACCCCAGGTTCTTCAGGACCTGGCTCCACGGGCACTTCGCAACCAGGTACCACAGGTACTGGCTCCAGTGGGGGTCCACAGGGAGCTCGTTCCCCTCCTTCCGGTGCCCAGACTCCAGAAACCAAAGACCAACCTCTTCCTACCCTCCCTCCGTCGAAACCCTTCGACCCCAAGGATCTCATCCCGTACACCCCCGCGCTCATTCCCGCGGTGGTTGGTATTGGGCTCATTGCCTTTTTCCTCTGGAAGGTAAGTATATACGACAATGCGGGCATGCCGCATGTGCCGGATGTTTAGACCGCAGAACATCCCAACCGGCTCCAATACATGATCGTTCGAACCAATATGCCCCTACACGCGCGTTCATTCCTTTTATCCTACCGTCCTCACCCTGCTCTTTACCCCCCTTTTTCTGCTTAGTACTTTGCGTACCTCGGAAAAAAACGACGACGAACATATCGCACCGTTCGTGACGTGCCGTCACCGCCACTGGACGAAGAAATATTGCAGCATTTACAACGCGGCGAGCCACCACCCGATTACGGGTACACGATAGTTAGGGATAGGCAACCTGCGTCCGCTGCCGAACGCCGCGGCCAACGCCCACCACGCGTGCATACGCGCACGATTATCGAGCTACACTTAGAAGTGCTCCACGAATGTGAAGCAACCGAATGGGAAAACGTCAAAGACGACTATTTGCAAATACTTGTGGAGGAGTTTGCGCAGGATTTGCTGCAGGACGCGGAAACGAATACCAATATCTTGGGCGTTTCTACGTCAGACCAGGGTCCGCGCTGGAACAATGTTTCCTCCACCCTCAATCCACCCACTGACATCGACGGAACGGACCCTTGTCCACCACATGACTCCGTCCTCTGTCCACTTCGTGCGAATGCGAATTCGGCCCCCGACCACAATCACTGGATCCCTTGGATTGACCGCAACAAGCATCTATTGCGGGCGTGCATGACGAAGCCGTGGTTTTTGCAATTAAAAGCGGAATGGAAACAATACCTGCGCGAGCACATGGTGGCAGACGAGGACAACGGACAACGTGCATTCGGTGAGCCCGGTAATATCCCATCCGTAGAGATGAAGAAAGATGCCTGGAAACAGTGGATAGCGCAACAACATCGGCAACTGCGTATGTATGGCCAGGAGGAGTGGTTTAAGCATTTGTTAGACAATATAGCGGAGGCGACAGTACCGGAAAAAGGCGAAGTACCTGGAGTTGAAACAGACTTACACGTGGAAACAGTAATGGCAACAGACGATCTGCTAAGAGTGAGAGATTTACCCCGGACGCAACCACTGCATGAGCAATACTACAACAAGAAACACCTAATAGCCAAATTATGGATGCTCCTCCTCGCGTCCGTAATCGACGACTGCGAGCTTGAAAGCCGTCTGCAGGAGAACGAGTTATATGTGGATGACCTATTGGAGAAACTGTGACATTAGGATGACGGGGCACAAGAATGTGAAATAACGCATGCTAACGGTACACGACTTTTATTTCATTATGTGATATACATAATGTATTTCGGGTTTACATTATTCTATACCTTCTTTTTTTGTCCTCTGTTCTGCTTGTGCTTACTTTGGCTTTTGTTCTTTTTCTGTGTAGTCAACTTCTTTTAACATGACCATGGGGACATGGTGGTACAGGTCAAATGCATATACAATGTAGATTTACATGAATAATATGACGGGGTAGAATTCTCCTTTATGTGAAGTTAATTATTAAAAGATGTGCAACTGCATTCGAAGGGTATAGTGCAGAACAAATATAGAATGCGAATAAGCCTTCGAGTATAAGGAGAGCTTGTCTCTCCGAGCAAACGCGGCCGGCTAACGCACATTGTAGCCGAGTGTAAGGAGGATTCGACGACGGATTGTCCGAGTGTAAGCAGGAGGAGCCATTGTCTCTCCGAGCAAACGCGTCGACCAAAGCGGCCGGGTAAAGGCCATTGTCCGAGTGAAGCGATTCGACGCAGGATTGTCCCAGTGTAAGAAGGAGGAGAGATTGTCTCTCCGCGCACACGTGGCCGCGTAAACGGGATTGTAGCCGCGTGTAACAACGACAGATTTTCCGAGGCCGCATCCACAAACGGCGGCAACCACCGAGTACACATATTTTGTGGGAAGGCGCAAACAAGGGTTGCATGGGCGGCAACGACAGCAGAAGCATTGATGTTGTTGTTGTTCGGTTTAGCGTAGAGGGAGAATTTGTGTTTAAGGCGGTATTTTTTGTAAAGGAGGGTATTGGTTGTTAGGGAGGGTATTTGTTGTTAAGGGGGGGTATTTTTTGTTACGGGGGGGTATTGTGGTTAAAGATTTTCATGCTGCAGAATTATTCTGAGTATGTGATGATAGGTGTTTTCATTAGAGGAATATGTGTTTGAAGGATAATGTACAGTTTATTTGAACTTTCAAGAAGGATCCAGGAGCGTGGCATCCTACATAAAATGAGAATAAGCAGGAAGCCATGTGGAACTATTTAATATTATTATGGGACAGGTATTTTGAGAACGGGGATATAGGGGTAAAGCAGAAGAATATTAAGCACTGGGTGGTAAGTTCTAGTATATGAGGACAATAAAGAAGGAAATGAGTTGTACTATGCGCGAACGCTAGAATGAAATGAGCGAGTATGTTCGGGAGGTGTGTGTATTCATGTTGTGAACTACTATAATTTCTATAACAGCACGAAGGAAATACATATGGAACGGGATGTGTAATTATTTAGGGAATTATATTGGCACGCACAGTGCAGAAGGCAATATAATTCATACAGGAATACATAAGTAACATTATACCTGTAGGAACTGTTCTGGAAAAATATAGAGACCGTATGGACGGAATTTAAGGATTACATGAGGCACGCGGAAGAAGCCGGTACAATGAGAGGCATGTGTGATGCATGGGTTGACCCCGACACTGGGCACGCATTGGATCAGGCGAACCAGGATTTGTGTGAATTAACACTTATAGCATTACATTTTAAGCATGGAATCCCATGGAAGACAATTAATGGAAGCATAGAAGTTGTGGACGATGAAGAAGATGGCGTACTGTTATATATGAGGTGTATTTTAGTAAATATATTCATGAAACAAATCATGGGCATGAATTGTTTACAAGGGCCTGGTGCACAGTTTGCATTCAGTTTAGCGGATGGAGTTTTGGAAGGTTTCGAAAAGAAGAAGGTCGGTAATATTGCTTGTGAAGAGAAGGATGCAGGAGAGGGAGGTGTTAAGGGGGTAAAGGCGAAAGATAGAACTTTTTGGCAAATAATGGAAAGATGGTTTGAAAGGAATATGCGCAGAGTAAAGGATGGGGATACGGGAGTATTAGGGAAGGATTGCATGGTACAAAAAAAAGCAAGACAGGGAGGAAGGGACGAACAGTTGGGTGACTTGACAGAGAAGGTAAAAAAACAAATGGAAGAGGTTGGCCACGATATGGGGAACAAGGTAGAGAGAATATTACCGCAGGTAAAATCATGTACAACTACAGAATGTGTGAAGAGTATAATAGACGAAGAGCAGAAGCAGGACTCTGTTCCGCAAGGTCCACATGTAAAAGGAGACGGACAGTCGGGATCACCGCCCGGCAAACCCGCCCCTGCCAAACCCGGACCACCACCTGTCGACAACGCAGCCGGCGAACAGCCGCACAAACCAGCACCAGCCAAACCAGCACCTCCTGCCAAACCAGTAGCGGGGAAACCGGCGGAGGCAACGAATACGGACGGGGCGAAGCCGGGGAAAACCAAAGAAGACGATTGTCAGGGGGACAAAGTCTGGGACTGGAGGCACAGGGACATATACGTCGTGCAGAATTATACGGTAAGTTAGAATATAAGAAGGGCATCAAAAAGGAACAACAAGGGAACTGCGGGGCATTAATGCATGATTCATAGGGTATATACATACATGTGAGGGTGTTACTGCACTCAGGCCACATGCGTGTTCGTGAAATGCGCACATGGGTACTCTCCTCCGTGTTCGCGTACAACATGTAGGATGAACACTGGACCAAGGTACAGAAGGTGTTGAAGGAATTTATTAAATATTTGCAAAAGAATAATGATAACTTTGACTCCCATGGTGCCAACTGTGATAATGCAGGTTGGAATGATTTCGACGACGTTGCATACTATACGGGACAGAGAGTAGCGGATATGATGCGCTGCCGACTCATGTCCGGTGCGTTGTGGTTCGCAAACGGAGGTCATGGAGGTGAAGTGAATGATGAAGAGCTCAATAGGTTAAGATGTGAAATAGCAAATGTTTTTGGACACTTGCTGAGAAAAATGTATTGTAAAGATCAGCAAAACTGGTATAGAGGTGTAGAATATGCTTGGGAAACATTCCAGAACATGGGGGATGAGACATTGGGAAACGGGGCACTAAAGGGTCCTGTTACCGAGAAGAGGTGCACAATGTGTGGATATGTAGGTAACAGGAAGAACGTGGAAGCAGTAGATTTGAAGATTGCATACTGGCTAATGCAGGAAGGGGGCATAAGCGAAGAAATAAGAACACTAGAACGCGAAATGCAGTGTAATCAGAATTGGGAAAAGTATATTAATAAGCACGCAGACAAAGAAGAGAACGATATCAACAAAATTTTGACCATAGAGGGCATGAAGGAAAAGAAGAGACTGGACCAGACGGTACTACAGAAAGCAGAAGACGTGTTTGAGAAAGCAAAGAAGAAAGTAGACGCAGTAATTCAAAAAAAGCAAAAGGAAGGTAAGAATACGCATGGTACGAATACTGCCGAATACGGCCGAATACGGGATCATACTGCCGAACACCGACCGTACGACTGCGCACCGCTGAGATGGCGCCACAACAACACGAACACGCGGGGGCACAGCACACTACTTCGCAACTGCTTCGCTGCCCCCACTTCGGTTGAGCGATGAGCACAGCGGTTCGCTGAGCGTGCAACTGCCGAGCGATGAACGTACCGTGCAGCGGCCACGACCGTAGCGGTATCGGCGACCACTGTGTAGACGTGGTGTGCTGCGATGACCAGTGTAGCGCCGTCACAGTGGTGCGTGGGATGGAGCGGCGATCGCGGACGGCGGATGCCGCGGCAACATAAATGTACTGCTATCATGTATCCACCTCACCGTACGCGTGCTGCCGCCTGACGCAGTTCACCGAGTGCACCTCGATCCATGCATCGACCCATGCAGCCGACCTCACCGTACGCGTGCTGCCGCTACCTGGCCACACCGTCCCGGCCCCTTCTTTCTGTACGACTTGTGTCCCTTTTTTTTGTTATCATCTACACTTTCTTCCGTTCCCCATCTTAGGTATACCAAGTGCAGGATCAGCAGTGATGGACTCCGCAGCAGGGTCCACAACGACCACACGACCCGGATCGAAACCACAAGCACCGGCATCCCCAGTATTGCCAGCACGACCGCCACCACCTCCTCCACCACGTAGACCATCCACACCAACACAAGGTCCACAGGGAGTCGGATCACAGGGCGCTGGAATCGGCACATCCCCCGCGACTACGACTGCGGATTCGCATGCAACATCTCCAGGTAAGGCGACATGTCTCGGTAGTAGCGGCAAGTCTACAGGTGTCTCCATTAGTTGCGCAAGTACCTCAGACAGTGATCTTGGGCTGACGGATGATGTTCGGAAACTCCTGGAGGCACAGGACACGAGAGCGCACGCGCCCCGCAGTTCTAACCCAAGTTCAGAGACAGGTGAATCTAGCAGTGTGCACGCAACACATATGCACTAATAAAAGGACTGAAAAAAAAAAAAAAAACAACACACAATTTCCGGAGAGAGAGGGAGAAACAACACGGAGACAGAGAAACCAAACGTCGAATGAGAATGAACGGGGGACAGTGGCAGAGCGAGACAGCGACAGACCGAGCGTGAGCGCTCGGCAGAGCGCTCGGCCGAGCCACGGGGCGGAGAGAGCGAGCGATAGGTCGGTCGCGGGGGAGCGTAAGCCGCCGAAGCAGGTAGAGCGCTGGATCGGCCGCGGGTTGTAGACGTCGACACACCGACACACACTGTTGTGTGTGTGTTGTGTGTGAGTGGGAGACAGAGAGTCTTTTCCCGGGGTGGCACCCTACCCCCGTCCGTGTCCTGTCCCGGCGTCCCCTCGTCACCCGACCGGCGGTCAACCGTGAAACGGCGCGACCAACGATAACCATGCATCCACTTCAAAACTTCAGTTTCATCATACTTCTTCCTTCCCTTTCCCTGTCTCCCCATTCACCAAATGTTCAGGCGATGCCGTCGTTGACGGCGGCAACGATGACCCCCCTCCTCTCAATCCACCCAAACCAAAACCGAACCCAAATCCGGACGAAGCGGGGTCAACTGGTTCCTGTACCGCGAACAGTCAGGATGGAAAACTCTGTTCGAGTGCTGGTGCAATACCTGATGGTCAGGGTGCAAGAAGTTCTGGAAGTGGAAATGAGGAGGAAGGTGTAGGGGAAGATCCTTCGGGTACAAACACTATCCCCAACCCTTGGACTTCACAATCTGATTATAACAAAAAAGGATGTAATGACAATGATAAATCAGGATGTGACCCTGGACTACTACTGAACGAGCTGCCCGGTTCACTCAGCCTAGGAGAGGGATTTGTACCACCAACAGGAACAGACAGAATCCCCGGTTCTAAAGTGGAACTCCCAAATCCGTCGGAAGATAACGGCCACTTCTTTCCCGACCTAATGGACACCGTCCTTACCGCCATTACCCCCATCCTGTTTTTTCTCACTTCGGTCGCCGTCGCCCTACTGGGTTATTCCCTTTGGAAAGTAAGCACGCACACAACCACATACGACAAGACACCGCATTCGTGAGAAGTACACATAATATAACAATGCATTCCTAAGAATCTCTTAAGACCATTCTAACACAAATGCACTCCTACATCGTCCTCCTTCTTTTTTTGTTTAGTACTTTGCGTACCTCGGAAAAAAACGACGACGCATATATCGAACCGTTCGTGACGTGCCGTCATCGCCACTAGACGAAGAAATATTGGAGCATCTACAACGCGGCGAGGCTCCACCACCCGATTACGGGTACACGATGATTAGGGATAGGCAACCTGCGTCAACATCCGCCCGACGACGACGACGCCCTCCACGTGTGCATAAACGCACGATCATCGAGCTACACTTAGAAGTGCTCAACGAATGTGAAGTAACCGAATGGGAAAATGTCCAAGACGCCTATTTGCAGATTGTCGTGGAGGAGTTTGCGCAGGATTTGATGCGGGACGCCACGGGGTATAGTAGTGTCCCGGATGCTCCTATCACAAACCAGGATTTATCAGGGCACAATGTTTCATCCACTGAGTCCGACGGAACGAACGCATCTCAACGTAACGCAGAGCACCCTGATCCATGGAGTTGTATGGAAACCATACAGTTAGAAAGGGACCGTTGTGCACCTAACAAAGAGGACCCCGATCCATGGAAGTGTATGGAAACCATACAGTTCGCAACGGACACTTCTCCACCTACTGCTCATGACCCCGATCCATGGAGTTGTATGCACACTATACCGTTAGAAACGGACACTTCTGCACCTAATGCAGATGACCCCCATCCATGGAGTTGCATGGAAACCATGCAGTTAGCAAAAGACCCTTGCCCACCGAATGACTGGGATCCATGGCGTTGTATGGAAAACATACAGTTAGATGCACCATACAGTCGTGCCCCTACTGTTCCGGGGGACGCGACGTCCGCCTGCATCCATTGGATTGACCGCAACAAAGATATTTTACGGGCGTGCACGACGCAGCCGTGGTTTCTGCAATTAACAGCGGATTGCAAACAACATGCGCGTGAGCACATGGCGGCAAACGGAGCATCCGGTGAGCACAGGAAAGCCGCAACCATGGAAAGGAAGAAATTGGATGCATGGAAAGAATGGGTCTCGAAGCAACATAACGACATGGCAAGGTATAAGGCAGAACAGTGGTTCCAACATTTGTTGAATAATGTAGAGGAGCAGACAGTGTCGGACAAAGGCCAAGTACCTGGAGTCGACACCGCCTTAGCAGTGGAACAAGTCATGGGCACAGAAGATATGCTACGCGTGACAGATTTACCACGCACGCAAGCACTGCATCCGCAACCTTACATGAAACAACCGTTAACCGCTAAAATATGGATACTGATCCTGGCATTAGTCATAGAACAGTGCGAGGTCGAATGTCGTTTGCAGCAGACGTAGGTATATGTGGATGACCTATTGGAACAGCTCTGAACTTCGGATGACGGGGCATATGCATGCGACATAACGCATGCTAACCGTACACCACGTTTACTCCATTATGTGATATACATAATATACTTCTACTTTAAATTATTCTATACATTCCTTTTTTGTTCTGCTCTGTTCTGCTTACTTTTTACATGTGCCTTGTTCTGTTCTTTTTCTGTGTAGTCAACTTCTTTTAACATGACCATAGGGACAGGTGGGTACAGGTCAAATGCATATAAAATGTAGATTTAAATGAATAATATGAAGGGGTCGTATTCTCCTTTATGTGAAGTTAATTATTAAAAGCTGAGCAAGTGCATTCTACGGGTAGAGTGCAGAACAAATATAGCATGCGAACACGCATTCGAGTATACGGAGAGCTTGTCTCTTCGAGCAATCGCGTCGACCAACGCGGCCGCTGGTAACCACGCTTCGACGCAGTAGCCGCGTGTAAGACGGATTCGACGACGTACCCGAGTACGGATCCACAGAGAGGGAGTACAGAGTGCGCGTGGACGAGAAGAAACACACATATTTTGTGGGAGCCATAAGGTCCGCAACGACGGCGTCCACGACGGTAGCAACCACGACAGAAGACATTCATGTTGTTACTGCGGTTTTGTTGTGTACGCAGAGCCGACAGTGTGTGTGCAGGCGTTTAGTGGAGACCGGTGTAGAAAGGGCGGCCGGGGCGTATATTCATGACGTTGTGTAGTGTTTTTCCTATTTTTTTTCCTTGTTTTTTTTTTTTTTATTCTTTCTCTTCTTGTTATTATATCCTTGTATTTTTTTCTCTTTTCTCGATATAGTTCTCCCTTAGCGCAACCATAAATAGTGTACGGCAGCACTCTAGTGAGCACAAGTACCTATGATACCAGAAGTTCATGAAATAATTGGTGTAGAAGTACAGGAAGAATAATTATTTAGCAGAATATGAACATATTAAGGAAGAGAATGTTACATGGGTTTACATGTGATATATGTAGCATAATAGTATTTCAAAGGCACTGGACCAAGTAGAGGATACTAATAGAATAATACTATTATGTCCGGAAGGCACCTAGCCCAGGTGTTGGCCGACTGGGTACGGGCGCGGGGTGAACACATGGGCCAGAAGGGTTATGTGGTAACCAAGAGTGATGGGCAGGATATTAAAAGCAAGGCATATTAATTTTCTTATGTATAAGGGGGAGGCAGTTTATGCAGCGCAGATACGTTCCATATGTGAATGAGAATGGAAAGTGCCCGCTGTTATGATAGTGCGGGAGCGCCTAGTGCATAGGAATGTATTCACAGGTGGATTAAATGTACACCACGAAGCGCACATTGTAAACTATGAATACATGTATATGTGTTATATTAATTGCAGAAAAAGCTGTGGGAAGATATAGAAACGGAGTTACAAGCATTTATACAGCATATAACACAAACGGATACGGAAGGTTGGGATGCGAACTGTGAGAATGTGTATTATAACCACGAAAGCAATCCTGATGGTCACCCGCGAAAGGTAGAATACGCGAGAGACAGAATTATGTGCAGACTAATGGTAGGAGCATTATATTTTATGAATGAGAAAAGTTGGCCTACGCGCGGAGGGAGTATGGGGGTCAGTAATGATGATGAAATGAAGGAATATGTGAGATGTGCCATTGTCAATATGTATATGGAAATACTGAAGGAATCATCATGTGGTGGAGGATGGGGTTTATGGTATGCCTGGTACACCATGAAAAAGATGGAAGAAGGGCTACAGGGTGGTTTAATAACCACAGGTAAATGTGGGAATGCAGTGTTTAAAAACATACAAACAGAGGAATTCGACATGGCACACAAGATTCAGGCATGGTTAAAGAAAAACAAAGGCGTGACTGACAAGATTAGAGGGAAAGGAATAGAAAGCACATGCAGGAAAAAATTAGAAGAACTTGACGGGGTAACACCGGGTAAACATGCCAAAGATGAAAAGATAAAACTGCAGCCACAGGAGAAAACACTGATACAGAAACTAGACCAAGAACTGAAGACCATAGTTGAGCAGGTAAAGACAGCCGCAGTGCAATGCGCGCAGGCGAATGGAGCATGCATAGAACCGAGCGAAGAGGACCCCAGTAGCGATCCTGAGGAAGACGACAGTGAGGCAAAGGCACCAAACTCTGTAAAGAGCGATAAAACAGCAGAATCCGGCAAAGTACACGGCAAAGAATCGCAAAAACCCGCAGCTAATGACGCGGCCACTACAGCATCCACGGAACCGCCAGGTAAGGACCGATGGCACAATGCACTAATGAGGCCGCTACGCATAAAACTGCGGATGCATGCCGCCGAATACGCATACCGTCACAACACGCACAAAGGCAACAACACACGCACAGGACGCGCAACACGCACGGCCACAACACGCGCACGCGGCGACCACCACGGGAGCCGTGACGACGACGCGTGTAGGCCAGGTGTGCGCGGCGGAACAGCATGTAGCGACGACGACTGCGTAGACGAGATGACGGAGCGGGACGGCGGACGAGATGACGGCGACAACATAAAAGTTGTACTGCTACCATCCAGCACGACCTAGTCGACCGAGTTCACCTCACCGTACGCTTGCTGCCGCCTCACCCAGTCCGCCGAGTCCGACCTCGACCCACTGCATCGACCCACTGCATCGACCCATGCAGCCGACCTACCCTGCCGTTACTTGACCCAACCGTCCGCCCCGTCTGTCTGTACCACTTGTGTCCTTTTTTGTATCATCTTTCTCATCCATCTTTCGTGCATCCCTCATTACAGGCGCAGCGAAACCGGCGGCGACGCAGCCGGACACATCAGATACTGCAGTAGGGAGGTCACAAACACCGGCATCTCCAGTATTACCACAGGCACCACCAGCGGCACCGGCCGGAGGGACAGACGGAGGGCAAGGACCAGCGACATCTACAGGAACGGGACCAGGAGAATCAGGGGCAGGACCGGGACCTGGACAACAACCCCCACCTCCACCACCCCCGCGGAATGCTTCTGAGGACGACCAGAAGGGGAAGAAAGCAGACCAAGCAGGTAAGTGCTCAAAGGCATCACAGACTTATACAGTCAAGAATGCAGGCGACGGTATCCATGGAGCCACATCCAGCACCACTATCACTTTTGGCACGAGTTCCGGAACTGGTGATGAATGTGACACGACGCCCAATGACTCGGGACCAGGTAGTGTCCTGAGTGAATTTCGACAACAAAAACAAAGAGAAAAAAAAAGAAACAACAATTCCGCAGAGAGAAAAAACAAAAAACAACAACAATGACACAACAACTTTTCCGGATAGAACACGGACAGAGGGAGAGACAACACGGAGCGAGAGGAACCAAACGTCGAATGCGAGCGACTGGGCGAACGTGATCGGCCGCTGGATGTAGACGTCGACAGACCGCCACCCACACTGTGTTCACACACTGTGTGTGTTGTGTTGCGTGTTGTGTTGTGAGGGAGACAGAGTCTTTTCCCGGGGTGGCACCTTGCCCCGACGCATGCCGCCCGAGCATGGCACCAACCGTGTGGTCAACCGTGAAACGGCGCGACCAACGATAACCATGCATCCACGTCAAACCTTAAGTTTTATCCACATTCTTCTGCTTGTTCCAACTTATAGGTAAAGACTCTACAGCAACTACAGGCACCCAGGACCCCCAGGTACTAGCAGAACCCGCACCGGGACCAGTACCACCAGCAGGCCCACCAGCAGGCCCACCAGCAGCACAACCAACACCACCATCACAGGGACACGATACACCAGGAAAAGGAGTAACTACGGGAACATCTGGTGATGGTGAAAAGGGAGAACCTGGGAAAGCGCGTACAGAACTAGGGGGTCCCGCCGGTCCACAGGGTGCTGCTGGTCCAGTTGGTCCACCAGGTGAAAACGGTGCATCTAGCCCAGTTAATCCCGTTGGTCAACCAGGTGCAAAAGGTGCAGACGGTAAAACCGAGGGTGGCGGTAGTGGGTATGACCCCCCTCCTGTCAATCCACCCAAACCCAAACCGAACCCGAATCCGGATGAAGCGTGTAGTAGCGCCACCGGCGGCGGCGGCACAGGTCAGCCGCACGCAAGTGGTTCCTCTGGACCAGGTTCTACTGGTAACCAAACCCCTGGTTCCTCAGGTGCTGGTCCCACGGGACAAACGCCTAATGCGAATGTTGAGGCAAAAGGAACCCAGGAGGATAAATTACCTGCGGATACCGCCATCAACCCTTCCGTTTTGCCCGGCCTCAGATGGCAAGATGTCAAGTGGTACACCCCCGCGATCATTCCCGCGGTGGTTGGTATTTGGGTCATTGCGTTCTTCCTATGGAAGGTAAGTATACACGACACTCAGGGAATGCCGCATGTGCAGGATGTTTATACCTCAGAACATTCCTACGGGCTCCAACATATGATCGTTCTAACCAATATACTCCTACACCCGCGTTCATTCCTTTTATCCTACCGTGCCCACCCTCCTCTTTACCCCCTTTTTCTGCTTAGTATTTTGCGCACCTCGCCACACGCCGACGAACATATCGAACCGTTCGGGACGTGCCGTCACCGCCACTCGACGAAGAAATTCTAGAGCATCTACAACGCGGCGAACTGCCGCCACCCGATTACGGGTACACGATGGTTATGGATAGGCGGCCTGCATCTGCTGCCGACCGACGACGACGACGTAAACCGCGCGTGCATAAACGCACGATTATCGAGCTAGATCTAGAAGTGCTCCACGAATGTGAAGCAACCGAGTGGGAAAGCGTCAAAGACGACTATTTGCAGATTGTCGTGGAGGAGTGTGCGCAGGAGTTGATGCGGGACGTGGACACGAATAACAGTATCTTGCATGTTCCTAACTCGCACGCCTCTGTAACAACCCACGATTCGACAACCGACCATTCGACAACCCTGGATTCATGTCGACCTAACGAAGAGGACCCCGATCCATGGAGTTGTATGCACACCACACAGTTAGCAACGGACCCTTGTCCACCACATGACCCCTATCCATGGAGTTGTATGGAAACCATACAGTTAGCAACGCACCCTTGTGCACCTAACGAAGAGGACTCCGATCCTTGGAGTTGTATGCAAACCATGCAGTTAGAAACGGACCCGTGTCCACCTGACGAAGATGATCCCTGCAGTTGTATGGAATCCATACAGTTAGAAACGCGCCCTGCTGCACCTAACGAAGAGCACCCCGATCCATGGAGTTGTATGAAAAACATACAGTTAGCAACGGGCCCTGGTCCACCTAATGAACACGACCCCGATCCATGGAAGTGTATGGAAACCACACAGTTAGACCATGAACAACATCGCCCTTCCGACCACGGTGACGAGACGTCGGACTACACAACGTGGACACCTTGGATTGACCGCAACAAGCACCTATTGCAGGAGTGCACGACGCAGCCGTGGTTTCTGCAATTAAAAGCGGATTGGAAACAATACCTGCGTGAGCACATTGCGACAGACGAAGACAACGGAGTATACGGGCACAGTGTACTCGGTGATGCGGCCACGCTGCCGATGAAGAAACTGCATGCATGGAAAGAATGGGTTGCAAGACAACATCGGCACATGAGTATGCATAAGGAGGAGTGGTTTCAACATTTGTTGAATAATGTACAGGAGGTGACAGTGTCGGAACAAGGCGACGTACCTGGAGTCGAAAAAGACGTAGAAGTGGAACATCTAATGGGAATAGAAGATATGCTAAGAGTGAGAGCTTTACCATGCACGCAACTTCATCAGCAACCTTACATGCAAAAACCGTTAACCGCTAAAATATGGATGCTCCTTCTCGCGTCCGTAATCGAACAATGTGAACTCGAGAGTAGCATGCAGGATAGGGAGTTATATGTAGATGAACTATTGCAACAGTGTTAACATTAGCATAACAGGGCATATGAATGCGGAATAACGCATGCTAACCGTACAACACTTTTACTGCATTATGCGATATACATAGTATATTTCGGGTTTACATTATTCTATACCGTCTTTTTTTTTTTTTTTTTCGTTTGTGTTTTTTGCTGTGCACTTCTGCTTTGTTTTGCTAGCGTTATCTTGTCCACTTCTATTAATATAACTATGGGGACTGGGTTATAGAGCTTAAATATATATAGAATATGTGGGTTGATATGAATTAGGTAGGAAGTTATTTGTTATGGCGTCGTCAGCGACTAGGTAGTGTAGTGTACTTTTTTCCCCCCTTTCTTTGATAGCAGCAAGACGGAGGAAGGCGGACGGAGAAGCGTTCACGGGAGAGGCGTTGACGGAGACGGTGTGACGGAGAGCCGTTGACGGGAGCAGCGGTTACGGAGAAGGCGTTGACGGAGAAGCGTTGACGGAGAAACGTTGACGGAGACAGGGTGACAGGGGAGGCGTTGACGGGAGAGGCGTTGACGGAGACGGTGTGACGGAGAGCCGTTGACGCAGACGGTGTGACGGAGAGCCGTTGACGCAAGAGGGGTTGACGGAGAACGCGGTGACGGAGAGGCGTTCACGGAGAACGCGGTGACGGAGAGGCGTTCACGGATACGCGTTGACGCAAGAGGCGTTCACGGAGAGGCCTTGACGCAGACGGTGTAACGGACAAGCGTTCACGGAGAAGTGTTGACGCAGAGCGCGGTGACGGAAGAGGCGTTGACGCAAGAGGCGTTGACGGAGACGGGGTAACTCGGAGAGGCGTTGACGGAGACAGGGTGACAGGGGAGGCGTTGACGCAGAACGGGGTAACTCGGAGAGGCGTTGACGGAGACGGGGTGACGGAGCGGCGTTGACGGGAGACGCGTTGACGGAGAGGCGTTGATGTGAGAGGCGTTGACGGGAGAGGCGTTGCCGCAGAAGGCGTTGACCGGAGAGGCGTTGACGGCGACGGGGTGACGGGTGTCGGCAGAGTCGTTGACGGAGACAGCGTTCACGACGACGGTGTGACGGAGAGGCGTTGACGCAGAGCCGTTGACGCAGAGCCGTTGACGGCAGAGGCCTTGACGGGAGAAGCGTTGACGGAGAACGGGGTGTCAGAGACGGGGTGACAGGAGAGGCGTGCACGGAGAAGCGGTGACGGAGAACAGGGTGTGTTTATATTTTTTTTTTTTGTTGTTGTTAATGAGCGGTGTGTAGTCGTAGTAGTATTAGTATTATTATTATTATTAGTAGTCGTAGTAGTAGTTGTTGTTGTAGTAGTTGTCGTACTTTTTTTTTTAACAAGGGCATAACTGTTCAATATGCTCGGGGAATATGGCCAGGACATACTGCTCTTTCTAGGGGCATGGGAGGCTTATCTAACGCACATGAAGATCAAGGATGCACGGACATATTGGGTACGTTCACACGTATAGAGAGTTACGGCAACGGGGAGAAGTAAAATTAAGCACACGTATGCATACAGCACCAATAGTCACTTGTGCATGTAAATAACCTACCTATGTGATTTTCATGAAGGAAGGTTGATAATATGATGGAGAATGCTGCGCACACGGTGTGCAGCTATACGGGGGCTTGTATGAATCAGTGCACTCTAATTAGGGAAGGGGCATACATAGCGCAAATACGTGTGTATATGTACTGTTCAATCTGCAGACAGAGCTATTCCGGGAGGTTGATAACATCTTCACGGAGTTCAGGACCGCAGTTGGCCAAAGTATCGGTGCGATCGCTGGATTCTGTGGGGACATATATAATG